ATGTCTGCAAATCCACTGGGCTTTCAACAAGAAGCTAGAAAATCAGGACTTTTTAAAAATGCCCCGGGACACGGGACAAATTATTATAAATTGTGACTGTCCCACCAAAATCGGGACGTCTGGTCAACTTATTCATAAATCAATACAATTCTTAGTTTTCAGTTTGCAGACATATATAGAACTGACTGCCCAGTGATTTATACTGCGGGACAAAAGAAAATGGATTATCTGTTTCTTTTCTCCTGTACTGTTTTCCTACCTATTACTTAAGGTTTGGTAGATGAAACATCATTATAGCATTTGTGTTTGCAACTAAACAAGAACATTCTTATTAGAGATAACAATGCAACATTTCTTCAAATCACATATTTATTACGTGTAGCTGTTGCATGTGACAAGCTGTTGTATTTAGAAGTGCACAACTTTTGGCTTCTGATGATTATATTTTGCCTTTGGCTACAGGCTGTAGTCACATGACAAAAAGTAGAATTATGAGAAAACATGCATGGAACCAGGACAAAAATTAAAATTGATTTATTTTAATTAAAATCAAATTTCATTAAATGCAATTAATACAACTTATAACCATATATTTATTAATTTGGAATTCAATGATACTTTTTGGGAATAAATAAGAATTCACACCCAATGCCTACAGGGACTTATAAAATATAGAGACTTGGCCTGAGATGGTATACTAATGAATTAAAATTTAACCAGCTATTAATATCCATGAAAGTGGTGACAGTGAAGAGTACATTTTGTTCATGGAAACAGACTAAAACAAATTAAAACGAATCAAGACATACAATTGTGTTTGTTACTGTTTTCTAAATCCAGGAATTAATTATAACTTGTGGCTGCATTTGTGCATACTGACATAGATTGCCTAAGGTGAACATTTGCTTGATTTACATGGTGTGATCTGATAGTTTGTCACTGAGATGAGCCACAAACATTCCAGTCTTTTCACTGAATATATTGAAATTATTAAATGGAAAGTGTCCAGATAGCATTGTAAGCATAATGGTAGCTACAACAGATGTAACTAACTGCAAGCATTTTACATATACTGGTACAGTATTTGTTTTGACAATTTTTTGATTGTGTCTTCACTTCCTGCTTAAAGTATAATAAAACATCCTAATTAGAAGTTTACTTTGTTAACTCTCAGCCATATTTTATAAATGATTATTTGGCAGAATATCTCTCTCTCCCCCTCCCTCCCCCCTCTCCCCCTCTCTCTCTTTCATAAAAAACATAATGAAAAACTTATCAAGGCCATCCAAAGACTTTTAAGAAAGTTTCTGATATGTGCTCAGTCTCTCTGCTTCAAAATATTATTATTTGGAATTTTATTCAAGTATAATTTTGTCTATCCTTTTTGTTTTATTTCTAAGCATTTGTTTCATTTATTTTTTAANACAAATAAATACAATAAATACAATACAATACCTGTAATGCGTCAACCACATCCGGCAGGCCTGTGCGGCCCAGGTACCCAGCTCGCCCAAGGTGGATGTGCCGCCAGGTTTAGCGGACTTCGTGGATGTCTTCAGCGAGCAGGAGAGGATCAACTGCCACCGCATTGGCCTTATGACTGTCCCATCGACCTGGTACCTTATGCGAAGCTCCCTACGGGTCGTCTGTACTCCATGTCTGAGCTGGAGTTGGCCGCGTTGCGGGACTGTCTTGATAAGAACCTTGCTTGGGGGTTTCGTCCTCGCCCTTGAATGCCCCGGTTTTGTTCATGAAAAAGAAGACCGGGGATCTGAGACTTTGTTGCGATTACCAGCACCTGAATGCCATCACGGTACGTAACCGATACCCGCTGCCCCTGATTCTGGAGTTGTTGTAGCGGCTCCGGGAGGCAACGGTATTCACGAAGTTGGATTTGCGTGGCACCTACAACCTGGTTCGAATCAGGGTGGCCTTTGGCACCCGGAACGGACATTTCAAGTACATGGTCATGCCATTCAGGTTGACCAATGCGCCGGCGGTCTTCCAACATTTTATGAACAATATCTTCCGGACCTGTTGGATCAGTTTGTCGTCATTTACCTGGACGACATCTTGATCTACTCTATGTCCCGGAAGGATCATCAACGTCATTTGCTTCTGGTCTTGCAGTGACTCCAAGAACATCGTTTGTTCGCAAAGCTAGAGAAGTGTCAGTTTTGGCAAACTACCATCGAGTTCCTGGGGCACCGTATCTCCCCTGAAGGAATTGCGATGGAGCCGGGCAAGGTGGAGACGTTGCGTAGTTGGCAACCTCCTCGACGTATGAAGGATGTGCAGAGACTCTTCAGGTTTGCCAACTATTACCAGACCTTCATCCCCGCTTTGCTTTCTTGACCACGCCCCTCACTCGGCTCCTGCAAAAGAAAGTGCTGTTTCGCTGGGGTCCCATGGAGCAGCGAGCGTTCGTGGCCCTGAAGCAGGCTTTTACGAAGGAGCCAATCTTGAAGCACCCTGATCCCCATCGTCCATTTGTCGTGGAGGCGGACGCGTCTGACGTCGCGGTGGGTGCAGTGTTACTGCAGTCTCATGCTCCTGATGGTACCCTTTTCCCTTGTGCTTACTACTCTCGGAAACTCAATCCTTCACAATTACACCATATGGGAGAAGGAGTTGTTGGCTATCAAGATGGCATTCGAGACCTGGAGGCATCACCTGGAGGGGGCCAGGAATCAGGCCGAGGTCCGGATGGACCATCGGAATTTGGAATTTTTGACCACGGCACGTAAACTGGACCAACGCCAGATCCGGTGGTCTCTGTTCTTTGCCCGGTTCAATTTTAAGGCGACGTACATCCCTAGTGCATTGAATCAAAAGGTGGATGCCCTGTCTAGGAAACTGGAGTACTCTGACGCTGTGGACTCATTTCCACCCTGGACTGTTATACCTGTCGAATCCTTCGCTGCAGTTCATGAACCCGTGGACATACGGTCTCTGATATGGGATGTGCAGCAGGGCGACAAGTGGGTGGAGCAATGAAAGGTGGAAGTAGGGCCGGCTTCTCCATGGACCTTTGATGAGGACCTTTTGAGGTATTGGGACCGGTTCTATGTGCCCGCAGGGCTCCTCCATGGACTGGTTGTCTCCCAGTGTCATGACACTCCAGCAGTGGGACATTTTGGTCTTTTCAAGACATTGCACCTGGTCTCCTGTATGTTCTCGTGGCCCTACTTACGAGACGGCGTGCAGAAGTATGTGACGTTGTGTGTCCAATGTCAATAGGACAAGTCAGCGAGGGGAGCTCCTCCAGGTTTATTGCAGCTCTTGCCAACCCCAGACAGATCCATGAACTTCTTGACTGAGCTGCCTCTGTCGTCAGGGTTTACCACAGTCCTTGTTGTGGTGGACATGCTCACCAAGATAGTGCATTTCATCCCCTGTCGGAGATTGCCGACAGCCCACGCCATGGCCCACATGTTCATCCAACACGTGTTCCGCTTGCATGGCCTACCTAACCGGGTCGTCTCGGACCGTGGGACACAATTCACAGCCAAGTTTTGGAAAGGGCTGATGGCAGCTCTAGATGTCCAAGTATGTTTGTCCTCGGTGCACCATCCTGAAACCAATGGGGGTACGGAGAAGGTGATTGGGATTCTAGAACAGTACCTGCGCTGTTTTGTGAATCAGCAGCAGAACAACTGGGCAGAGTACCTGGCTGTGGCGAAGTTTGCGTTTAACAACTCCCAGCACACCTCCACACGGACGATGCCCTTCATGGCTAACGTCGGGTACCACCCTCGTTTTTTCCCTCTCACCCCGGTGGACTCCCTGGTCCCGGCAGCACAGGACTTCCTCTTTGAGCTTCAGGCGGTACACCAAGTGGTGCGCCGCTATCTGAACCAGGTGAAGGAGGATTACAAAAGGGTGGCAGATAAGTCTCGGCGTGCGGTGCCGGAGTTGGCTGTGGGAGATCGCGTGTGGCTGTCCACACGGCATCTTCCCTCCCACTGGCCGGCTAAGAAGTTAGACCACCGGTATCTTGGACCATTCCCGTGAAGACCGTCATCAACCCGGTGGCCTATCGCCTGACCCTCCCACGCTCGATGCGAGTGCACCCGGTGTTCCAACGCTCGCTCCTGATCCATGAACGGCTTGTCCTCTCCACTGACCCTCTTCCCCTCAGCCGTCATCGCGTGCAGTGGACACGAGGCCACTGCACGAAGTGGCTCGGAGGAGGATGTGGAGGACCCTGGACAGGGTTCCAACTCTGAGNGCAGGCGTCCTAGAACCTGCCTGCTAGCAAAGGACCTTTCCGAAGTTGCTTTTCTGAGCAACGGGGAGACAGAAGGGACAAAATATCAGCCGGCCGGGACGGGTATACAGGGCTGGGGGCAGGGCAGGCTTACTTCCGGGTCTGGTCACAAAAATCGGGACTTTTAAAGAATGCCCCAGGACGCAGGACAAATTGTTCAAAATCGTGACTGTCCCGCAAAATCGGGACGTCTGATCACCTTAATCATATAACATGTGCTTGCATTAATCTTTTACAGATGAGAAAAAATGAAAACAGAAAAATAAGGTATATTTCTGAAAATCGAGAAAATAATTTAAAAAGTAAAGCTTATTTGTGGACATTTAAAAAGCTACACTAGCAAAAATATATATTAATAAATGTCATGTGCCATGCATTTTTAAGAAACTTCATTGGACATTACCAGATATATAAATTAGAGGAAAGTGTGTTGAAAACCCAATAAGTTAAAAGACAGTAAGAAAGGTGAAAATATTTTGTTTTTGTTTTATTTTTGAAAATCATAAACAAAGTCTGAATCATGCTGAGATTTCTACTAAAATTAGGACTTGAATTCAAAATATACCAAGTATAATAATTGTCCTAGTTTTTTTCCCCTTCAGTTTTTTTTTGTTATACAATTATTCACTTCATTGAGCCTGTTGAGAAATTTGGAATATTTGTTCTTCTCTTTTTTTCTTTTCCAATCAACATCATCATCAGTCATCCTTATTTATGAACATATTAATATATTTAAAGTAGACAAAGTTCAATGACTAAACATTATATGAAAGTAAATATCTAAATTTAACACTTGAAATCTCATTAGAAACTGTTGAAAAAATATTAAGAAAACGTAATGTTTCAATAATGTTTCCAGTGTAACTTTTGTAGAATTTTAAAATTCCTTGGAAATAGAACCTAATTGCAATTAATGGTTATTATTTGAAACCCTAATGGTCACAGAGGACTAGAACTATCAGTATTCTGTAATGAAAACATAAACATAAACATAAATATTGCTGAATATTGTTAAACATACCTAGGGAAGCCTGATCCACATGTGGTAAACCATATAAGAAGCCACGTTCTTTTGAATATTGATAAGAGAAATCTCCTTTGTAATTATGGCCTTATAGGAAAAAAAGATTATATTCCTCTGCAAGAAAAATGCAGTTGTTAAAGTACAGTATCAGGTGACAGCAACAAAAAGTGACAGAGCCTTCAACCTAGGGAAAAAAAGAAAGAAATGAAAATATCACACGAGAGACGTGTTTTTAGCAATAGCAATATAGCAATAGCAGTAGACTTATATACCGCTTCATAGGCCTTTCAGGCCTCTCTAAGCGGTTTACAGAGAGTCAGCATATT